GAGTGGATCTTGGCCTCTGTCGTGTGCTTCTCTGCCTCAAGGCCAGCGACGCGGCCTTGGCTGACAGAGAGATCACGTCCGAGTCGTTCCGCGCCATCCTCTGCCTTCGCCGCTGCAGCCTCGAGGTACTGGATCCTGAGCTTCAGCTCGGCGTTCTCGAACACCGTCGCCGGCTGAAGCAGGGCCGGTACGGCGGTGCAGGTGAGAGGCGCAGTTGGCTTCGCAGGGTACTAGGAAAGTAACTGTCAGATATGACAGGGGACATCACAAGGGAAACTACGTACAGGGCGAATGTCAGCGACGGTGTCGAAGCTGCGGAGGGAGTTCTTGAACATGGCGAGGAGAGGCGTATCGGCAATCATGGTAAGTACGTCGGAGGGTGTAGATGTTGATGGAAGAAAATATTGCTTGAGGCGTAGGTGTGGCGAGGGACGAAGGTGAGGGTGAAGGTGGTGGACGAAGTTGAAGTTGGTGTGAGACTGTCAGCCGTGGTTGGACAGAAGTTGAACACGACGGATCCCGATCTAGACGAGACTAGGCACACCGATCGACGGCGAGCTTGTCAAAGCGAACCGATCCGGTGCAGAAATCGCGTACGGAATGCGATGTGGGTGCGAGATTCGTATATCGCTGCATGGCTGGGACGAGAAGAAGGTTGGCATACGCGTCCACAACCTTTCCCGCACAAGTCCTCACCGTTAACGCTCCAGCCAGGATCCTGCGAGGCCCTATTGTTGAGGCAAGCAGCAGCAACGATAATTCTGCCGCATACATGCCGTTCCTCTACTGCAGATGCTGCAGATGGTGGGTGTATGCGTCTGGGTTGTCATCGCACGCTTTTGCCCCACTGATATATATTTCTACGCCGCATCGCATCAGATGCGTCTGCTGATGGCGGTCTTAATAGACGCTCTCCCGACGCTTGAGGGCGAGTTCGAAATACAAGTTATAGTAACAGCGTACAGGCAGAATATAGGCAACTGCACGCTGTGTCGAGGCTATTTCGTAGTCGCGTTGTGTGCACACAACCTAACACGGCGGAAGTGTCCAAGCTTCAGAGGATAATTGCCACCGGAGAGACGCAGCTACTAGATGTACGCGGCGACGACATCTGCGATACCCGACTGCGACGTAGCACGGGATTCAGCAGATAATGATACTCATAGACCATATGAGTGTTTGCAGAGGTATGCGCAATACAATAAGCTGGAGATCATGCTGCAGTCGCGACGCCGAGTTTGGAAGAGCTTGACGAGGCGCTCGTGATGTCCTAGCATTTCACGATGTCAATATTCGAACGAGGATATGACCGCGACAACATACCACACGCCCACCGTTTCCTTCCTCTCTTCGAACTTTTCTCTTTCATTGGCGTCGAAGTCGTCGGTTATCGAGAACCGACGCGCATCTGCTTGACAGGACATGTCGCGATCGTGAATCGGTTTCGCACACGCCTTCACCGCTTCAGCGCTGCTCATCGCGCGCGGCAGATGCGCGGACAAAGTGCGAGTTCGTGTACAGGCTCCGCTTGAAAGAGGAACGAGAGGGCAAGCGAGACGTTGCGGCACTGAGAGAGAGAAGGGATGTTCGTCGGCTCAACTTCTCAAACGGGTCCAACGTCACCGACTCTTCAATCAGCACGCGAGTCCGGATATGCAGTGGTGCTCGATTGGGGACTAGACATTTCCAAGTCTACCTGGAATAACGACTTCAAGTGTACTTCCAATTTGTATTATCCACATAACTTGAACGAGGCTTAAAAAGACAGAGTCCACTCACCACAATGCTGCCCGCTCGACAGCACAGCATTTTCGTGAATTAGATACCCCTGTGGTGATGCTGAGAGACGATACAAATGGTAGGACGTACAACGATAAGTAGTTCTATGCTGCAAAGCTTGCTGCAGGTTGTGAGCGCTGTCCGTGATGCAACTCGAGCTCCTATTCTCTCACGCCATGACACCTTCAGATCTAGAGAGACGACAAGAGTAAATCAGAGAAATAGACAAGGTGTATAGAGGACTAGCTCATTCTACGGCCACTGTTTTCAGTGATTTAAATATCTACAGCTTTGATTCTGTTAATTTCTTTTATCCTTCCTGTCTCCTTTTTAGGCTTTTCTCCCCAGTTAATCTTATGCACCTAATATTGTGAAATGATGGAAAAAGAGACCAGATTCGAAGTATGTCCCCAGCAGGGTGGCTTTATGGTTGATGGAAGGCGGGAGCTGAACTCGACTGCAGCCTTCAAATTGCTTTGAAAAGGTCGGCGAAAGGGTGAGAACCGAAGGCTGCAGCGGTAGTATGAGCTGCCAAGAAGTTATTCGCGTTCCTGAGCACCGTCGAAACGTCAGTCATACGGACGGCAAATAATAGAATCCGGAACATACTCTCTTGTCGACGAGTTAGATTGTACGAGCGTGAACAAGCTGCTCTCGGGAAAAGAGGAAGGCCACCTATGGAGGTATTCCGATGAAGTCGTACCGGGATAGAGAATCCGGGAAAAATGCAAGGAGCCCAGCGTACTCAAAGACTGAGCGAAGACGGCCTCGCACGTGCCTGCGAGCTTCAGGTTGAAGACTTGATGGCGGGGCGGGAGCAGATTTGCGCTCGCGAGGTATGAAGAACGATAGTAGTTGGCGTTTGGGCTTGTCGAGACTGGTGAAATAGTCGAGGAGAACGAAAGCGCTCAAGGACCGAGCCGATTGTTTCCCGGTCGGTAGCGGTATCATGATGGATGTGAGGACCGAGCAAATTTACGCGGGGAGACTAAGGTTGTCGAGCTAGCTCTGGAAGCCGACGAAAAGACGTAGGTAGAATGGAAATGCTTCTATATCCGCGGGAAAATCGGTTCCAGGTGCATTGGGATAGCAGCTGGACGTCATTTGCTTGAGTAGATGGCGGAGACTAGGAAGAGGATAAAGGTGGTAGATGAGGAGTGCGCTGATCGGCACTAAAGTATTAAGAAAAGGGTACGAGCGCAGGTCACGGTAACGAGGAAGATGCAGACGAAGGCGAATAATAGAGGAGAAGAACTGTCCGAGCTGTCAATCTTGAGCACGCGCTGAATCGTTTTCTTTGCCGTTCTTTTTTTCTCTTTTTTTCGGGAATTTTCTTTCGTGCAATGCGGATGCGGATGTCGTCGGAAGATACCGAAGCCTTATATATCGTGAAGTATGCAGATTCCGAGTCGGGTGAGAGTGATCAGGTGATTGAATTGAGGATAATGTCGAAGCTGCCACAGACGAACACGCAGTAGTGGTTCACGATGAAACTTCGTTGTTGTCAGTCACATCTCGCGGTGTCAGATACTCGCACTTACATAAAATTGAAATGAGAGATTTAGACGAGCCAGTTGGTAATCGAACTAGAGGCTAGCAAACGGTTATCGGCCTACCGCCTAGCATGAGCCAGGGAGATTTCGGCACAGAATTTCACTCACGTTGACTGGGGGATAGTGGTTATCGGCGAAGAGTACGAACGGATCAATGGAGGAAGGGGTATCTTGCTGAGATACCACCTGGCGTTCGTCATCAAGCGGCAAAGTACGATCAAGGGTAACTTACTGCGACTGCCGCGTTGACGTTGAGCTCGCTATCTGAAGCAGGGAGAACGACCACGACAGCAACAATGAGATCTTCGATGGCGCTATCGAGCTTGGCTTTCTTGCAGGGCGGTGCCTGGATAGCGTTCTCATCCTCATCCTCGGGAAGGTCGCGCTTCTGAGAGATTCCCAGGGCTAGAGGGGCACTGGATGCTGCCTGCGCCCGACCGAACTGGCTGATAAGGAAAGCGTTCTCGCGGCGAAGCCTCTCTTCCTCGTCCCTCAGACGGTCGCGCTCGTCGATGATCAGTTCTGCGCGAGCCTCAGCCGCAATAAGTTCGCGCCGGGTGTCACGAGTCTCGCTGCGAGCAGCGGATAGCTTAGCCTTGAGAGCGTCGCGCTCATCGACCAGAAGTTCGATGCGGGCGCCGGAAACCTCGAGCTCACGACGAATCTTGTCGGTATCCTCGCGAGCGGCGTCCATACTACTCCGCAGCATCTCGAGCTCGTCGACCATCAGCGAAATGCGGGTCTGGGTCGCTTCGAGCTCGCGACAGGCCTTGGCATGTGCGTCGCGCTCAGTAGTAAGCTGGGCTTGGAGAGCGACCTTCGCAGCCCTGAGCTGCGTAGCCTTGGCCTGCGAGCCGGCAATGTCTTCTTTTGCGTGGCGGAGCTCTTCAGCCAAAGCGTCCTTCTCCGTCTTTTCGTTGCGAGCCCGTTCAGCCGCTTCCTCAGCCCTGGCCTTATAATCGTCGCGCTCTGCTGACAGCTGTCTAATCTGGTCTACTTGGAGAGAGATGGTCATATTGGCGTCCTCGAGTAAGCGGCGCATTTCCTTGAGCTGTCCACGGAAGTCCTCTGCTTGCTCCCTGGCGGCCCGCTCCGCCTCTTCCAGTGCGATGTCCTTGGACTCTATGGAGCGCAACGCGGCCGCGTGCATAGTTTGTCCAGCTGCAGTCTGCGCTGCTTGCGCGTCCAGAAAATCCTGCGACTGGATAAAGCCGTCCTCGAGCTCCTGAATCTCGCAGAAGTGCCCTTGAGCCATCTTGACCGCCCAGGCGTCCTTCTTCCGAAGCCGCTCCTGAAGACTGGAGACCTCCTCGCGAGCACTGGCAAACGCAGTCGCAACTAGCGAAAGATTGGCCTTCTTGATGTGCAGACGCTTCTCCAGGTCGACGAGCTTAACCGCGATCGCGTCCCGCTCCGACATGAGGTTCGACACCTGCTTCTCGGCGGCATCGCGCTTACGCATGACGAAGGACCTCTGAGTTTCAACGATCTCGTTGCATTGCTTGGCCCAATCAGCCATGAACTTCGCTTCGTGCAGGCTGAACTGTAGCTGAATGTCCTTGTGGTCACATTCGATTGCCCTCTCCCGAAAGAGGGCGGTCTGCCTGCGCTTCGAGATTTTCGTTGCTTTGAGCTCGGACCCAAGCTTCTTGTATTCCGCCTGCGCCGCGGTTGCAGCTTCGTCAGCTGCCCTTAACTTCTCCTCGAGTTGCTTGCACCTGGTCTGCTCCGCAGAGAGCTCGCGTTGCTTGTCCGCCTGTTGCTTGCGAAGCCGGCATTCCCGTTCGCGTACTACAGCGTCAGTGACCTTCTGGTATTCTCTTCGCTGTGCGTAAAGATGGGCGATTTCGTTCTTAAGTTCAGCGAACCCGTGTGCGACGGCCGTTGTGAGCATAGTGGAGTCTCCGGCAAAGGCGAGAGGCATCGGGCTTGCACCAACGCGGTACTAGAATTCAAGTCTCAGGAATAGATGCAAAGTCTAGCGAGAGCCACACACCTGGCGAGAGTCGAAGACAGGGTCGAAGTCCCGCATAGAGCGCCTGAAGATCTGTAGAGCGTCCATCGTGATAATAGGGAGGTGTATCGAGAGGAGAGGCGAGATCGCCGAGCGTGAAATGATATGTAAGGATATGAGAAGAGCAGAAGACGGAGAGAGCTGTAACAAGGGCAGACGGTGGCTGACGGTCAGCCATGATCGCTGTCGGTCTCGATTGAAACTAGCTTCTATGTCAGCCTCTACACCAGTTGCTACAGCTTAAGGCTTACATAAACTCTGAAAGACCTTCTACATAGCATGTTAATCACCATATCTCTGTTTCTGGAGTTCCTATGGTCTCCTCCGAGTCCCTAAAGTCGTCGGCGTGGTTACTTTCAGTCGCAGCACTTGACGATTATTCGACAGCATATAGTGTGTGTGCAGAACAGACGCGCAGGAAAGAAAGAGATTGTTTTGTCATGACAAGGTTTGTGGGTTTGAGAAGTTTGAGAAGTCGGTCGAGGGACTGGAATGAGGACTCTATACTGGGCGCTCCTGGATCTGATGTTGGCACGCAAACTTCACACGCCACAATGAACTTGCCATAATTGGACAGGTGTTTCCACGCCTTTGCGAGGCTTGCTGCATTTTCTTGGGCAAACTGTACTCTCTTAAGTTCCACAGTATCCCACCTCGACATCCCTTTAAACGCTTTCCCTAGTTCGTTTTTGGAACGGCGAGCGGTGGCGAGGTTGCTGAGTAAACGAACGCTTCCAAATCGAACTCAACAATTTTGAATGACTACTAGCAGTAATAAGATTCCGTCTCTAGACCAGGCGAATCATCGTCAACAGCTCCTCTTCATATCAGCTAAATCTCGCAGCTCGTCGTCGCCACAGACTACGCCTCAGGGGTATGCCGGAGCTCCGAGAGACCGCAGCTTCCGCGTCCGAGTCGGCTTACGCCGGAAGCCTACATTCTGAAGGCCTATCTAAGCTGGTAATCATCTCAAGGCCGTGTCGCTCCTAAGCAGTCGTAGTGCGTAGTTGCGCATGTAGAGCCGTAAGTTCTCAATGTACTTTAGCTTCGAGTTCAGAGATCCCCGGGCCCCAGCTCCTGTTCACATAATATAGTTATACGGTCAAGTTTTGAGGATTGATGTTGTTCCACATGTTGAAAACCACAGGCGACAGCTCAGCGTCCAGCGTCCAGCGCTCAGCGCTCAGGTCTTGTTCGAAGATGACAAGCCCAAGCCAAGAAATCAGCCCAAGAGGAGACGAGAAGCGCTCAGGGATGATCTCACCCTTATCTTTGACAGCCACGAGATGAAGTTGACCCTAGTTGACCGCCAGGGGGACCGCTAGTGCTTATCTGCTGACGGGGTCTATCGCTGCGCGTGATCCTCAAACATACTTCCTGACATTTTGATTCCCGACCAAAGCACAGATAGCTAACCCCATGAGGCGCATTCTTACCACCACGTAGATAGACTCAACCAAGCCCACCAAAGAGTTTTCCGGCTGCAGAATCTCTCTGCCCCTCTCTCTCGTCTGCGCACTGGACGATGCCAAAACATCCTATCCGCGCATACCTGAAGCCATCGGCGTGGGCCCTGGAGCCGAGTCCGTCGACCTTCGCACCAACTTCGAAATGGTCGAACAAAGACATGGATCCAGTCCAGCCGGAGGACCGGACATGGTCTACGTACAATTACGTCGCGTACTGGATCTCGGACGCTACGAATGCTGCGGTTTGGGAGCTGGCTTCTAGTATGCTGGCAGTGGGTTTATCTTGGTATGTTCACGCGACCATGACTTTCAAGCTTAGGTTCACAAAGAGTACTCGAACAGGCGGCAGGCTCTACCGGCGATTGCTGTTGGGCACATTGTGATTGCTACTGTCATGGTCCTGAATGGAACGGCCGGTGCACGTCTTCATGTAGCCTTCCCGGTCCTTAATCGCTCGTCGTTCGGTTTCTGGTTCAGCTACTTTAGCGTCATCAGCCGAGTTGTCCTGTCAATGTTTTGGTTTGGTATCCAGACTTACACGGGCTCAGAATGCGTGTATCAGGTCAGTTTTCAAATATGAACTATCATGTCCCGAAGGAAGTCGTTTACGCTATCTTCTAGATGCTGAAAGCGATCTGGCCAAGCGTACAACACCTGCCGAATCATCTTTCACCCAGCGCAAACATCACCACAGTTGGTACATCGTCCACGTTTACCTCGCTGCACAATCTCTGACACTCAGGTTCCCAGGCATGATGTGCTATCTTCTATACTGGCTGATCCAGGTCTGCTCATGCCGTCCTTACTCAAGTTCTTCCAAGCGCTGACACCTGGGCCAGTTCCCGTTCATGCTTGTATCTCCGCAACGTATTCGCTGGCTCTTCTTAGCCAAGGCCTTAATTGTCCCTCCAACCTGGCTCGCCATGCTCATTTGGGCTTTCGTCAAAGTCCCGGCGTCAAGCGGCCTTTTCGGAGACCATGCTGCTTTGACCGGAAGCAACTTCTCGTGGGCATGGCTCAGTGCTCTCAATAGTGCCTTCGGTATCTACTCGACGCTCACGGTCAACATCCCTGATTTCACTGTGAGCTCGTCTACGTCATATTCCATCAAACTTCTCGCTCACCCTGCAATCGTGCTAGCGTTACGCTAAGAACGAGAAGTCGTACGTGCTCCGACTATTTCGGACAGTTCACCTTACTGTTCTACTGACTCAATCCTAGCACTTACATCCAGATCGTGATTATCCCCGTTGCCTTCACACTTGCGGCCTTTGTCGGTATCGCGGTGACGTCTGCGGGCATCGTACTCTATGGGGAGGTGCTCTGGGACCCGCTGCAGCTTATCGACCACTGGGACAACCGCGCTGCGGCCTTCTTCGCTTCTCTCGTGTGGATGCTGACCACTCTCGGCACGAACATCTCCGCGAACTCGCTCTCAGCCGCGAACGACATGACCGTGCTCTTCCCGCGGTACATCAACATCCGCAGGGGACAGGCCATCTGTGCCGTCCTTGCAGGCTGGGCGCTCTGTCCGTGGGAGATCCTCGCCAGGTAGGGTCTCTTTTGCTTGGGATCGGGGTGTGCGCAGCAGGGGCTGACGCGTGGACGCCAGTGCACAGGGCTTCCTGACGTTCATGAGCGGGTACACGGTCTTCCTGGGCCCCTTTGCGGGTATCATGGTCACGGATTACTGGCTCGTGCACCGCTGCAAGGTTGATGTGCCCGCCATGTACGACCCACGTGGGCGCTACCGCTACGCCTGCGGCTTCGTAAGTGACATCCGCAAACCATGCGATGGTCGTGCTGAACATGCCTTGCGTAGAACTGGAGGGCTGTCCTTGCAGTCGTCGTCTCCGTTGGCCCTACCCTCCCTGGCCTCATCAACTCCATCAACACGAAGATCTCAGTGGGCAACGCTAACCATCTGTTCGATATCGCCTGGATCTTTGGCGTGAGTACTTCATTACACGCGCCCTCTGTCTATATTTACCTTGGATGTATACACAGTTCACTGTAGCTTCTACTGTGTACTACGCCGCGTCAACGTTGTTCCCTGCAGAGGAGACTTTCATTCCTCGGGCGATTCTGCCAGATGACGTTGCTGGATACGTAGATGAAAAGGGGAGCGAAGACCTGGAGAAGACGTCACTCGACAAAGCAGGAGCAGACACTGAAGTCAAAAGTACACTGTCGAAGCAGGGCCTATGAAGAGTTTCATTTTGTTTCATCACTATTCCTCCTATGTACTTTTAGCGGACTGCGTACCTATGGATATTCAAGCTTCCTTACGAAGTATAACCACGGCGAAATTGGTATAGACGCAAGTACTAGACTACGCGATATACTGCGAGTGAGATTGACACAACAACAAGGGGACGCAGTCTCCCCGGATCCGTTCCACGGATGCGCCACGACTTAAGCTACGAACGAGACGAGAGCTGTAACCTTATCATACACGAAATACGCGCATCCCTGGCCACGGACCGCTCAGTAGGCACCGCCAAGAAAAGCCAGCTCCCCAGCTGCACCAGGCACGCAGCCCTGCAGGCGAAGAATGCATCCCAAGGGAACACAAGACGATGTGAAGGAAGTAAAGCCACCCGGGGTGGAGGCACGCACAGCTGCCAACCGGAAGACGGGATGAGAGGCAGACCTGTGCGTCGATCCGTCTGTCCCGAGTGATCACAACCTAGGGACTATCTAGGAAACGATGGGTATATGAGTTGGTTGAGTGTCGGCGAATGTCGATTAGTGCGAGACATAGTGGCCATCGTGTGAGAGACGCTTCTTGAGATGGCGCTGCACAGCGGAACGCTTCTTCTTGCCGTTGCGGGATCTGCACTGTTTCGTGGAGGCAGGGGCAGGGGCGGAGGTGGTGGGTGCGGAGGTCCCAGAGGCTGCGGCTGCAGTGATGGGGCTAGGTACGACCGAGGTACTTGGTGTCACCGCAGTTTCTGCACTAGACGAAAGAGGAGACGAGGACGGCGCAGTAACAGAAGAGATGGTCGACGGGGAGGTGGTGGAATCTGAAGGAGGCGGCGGAGGGGGGGCAACCGAGGCGGTTGAGGAGGGAGTAGCCGAGGCGGTCAGAGAGTCAGCGACGGAGGTAGTCGGGGAGGGAGTAACTGAGGTAGTCGAGGGATTAGCGACTGAAGAACTTGGCGCGGAAGCGGAAGAATCGGATGATGGGGCAACAAAAGAGGAAGACGGAGTAGAGCCCTCAGACGCAGAAGCTGGAGCAGAGGAGGACGGGAGAAGGGCGGAAGAAGCGGAGGTAGACGGAGGGATGTTATTCTGAACCGTAGCCGGTGTACCGCCGACGGTGGCATCCTGGAAGAGATTGGGCTGGGCGCCGTCGGGGAAGCCGTACCTGTCGTTGTAGGTCGGCGCGTCATAGATGCCCTCAAACATCTGGCAGGAGAGTCAGCGAGTTATATATAAAGGATAAAACCAACAAACGTACGTTGTTGCCTTCGGCCTGGTCCCAATACATAGGGTTCTTAGGTCCGATCGTACAGTTACTGGGGTTGGCGGGGTGACCACTAGCGGCATCAGCGCCGCACTGACGTGCCAGGCCCGGTTTTCCAATGGGCTGAGTGCCGATATCGCCGGTAATTCTGCACTGGAAGCCGTTCATGTACACTAGACGAAACTATCGGTCAGAGGTGTGATGAGAACGATAACTACAATGGCGCGTACTCTGCTCTCCTCCAGAATCTGGCTAGATCAAAACACAATGAGCTTCGTGCAGTAAGAGTGATAGACTGTAAAACCTACGTTGTGGATCCAGAAGAAGCCACAGATGCAATTGTCGTTAGGACATGCGGGCATCTTGTCGGGAACTTGGAAAGTATTCTTGAGGAACCACGGGCAAGTGTGAACGACGCTGAAGATAACGAAGTCCTCAGGCTGAACATCGTTGAAGTCGGACTTGTAAGCGATACCGAGGGCACAACCAGCGGTGTCGTCGATGTTGTTAGCATGAATAGCCGTGACCGGCTGTCCAGGGCAGCACAGGTCAGAGTTGGGATCCTGGATACTACCGCTGCGGTAAAGTCAGTCGGAGACAACGAGGTCAGTGACTGTGAGCGCACCCTTCGGAGGAACTGAAGAAGGTTGTGTAGCCTTTATCACAAGAGATCTCAATGTCAGTCGAACCACCTGCTTCGAATTCTAAGACATCCTCCGGATGAGGTGGGTGGTCTAAATGGTTGTGCTAGTGACGTCCAGGAATATGTCAGCAGGATAGTCCCTAGAATTTTCGCGTGCACTGACCATCCACCATTGGGAGAAGGGCATGCTGTATAGCGGCACAACTGGTCGGTTGTCATAGGAGTACGTTTGCGCTGTGACGTTAAACCCCAGCATGGACGGATGCCATATCGCTACAGACTGCATTCAGCGATGACCGACGACCCTGCGGAGGATACACGCTTACAGGCATGACCATAGACCCTCCGGACGAGTGGTGAAAGCGCTGCAAGCGCGAGGTAGAGGGGGACCGCAGAAATCATGGACGTCTTCGTCCTCTAACACGAACAACGAGCGGAGATTATGGAAAAGAGCGTGAGTGCCGCAAGGGCAGGAGGAGGGGGAAAGATGAGAACGAATATTTGTCCATGGCCTTGAAAACCAACCACCTAAATTTCGGAGCCGGCAGCGGTAAATTAACAAGCGCCGGCGCGGCGTATGGCGCCCATCTCGAAGGTCACTATGGCTACAAGCTTATGCGCCATCATCTCCATCCATCTCAAGGACTGATTCGGCATCCTTCATTCCTCAGAACGACCGACGGCGCATGTTGCGTGATTAATCTATCAGGGCCGCAGCGGACGAGATACAAAAGTGCCTGCATACGGAGATTCACTGGACTGTGGAAAACTTGTAGGTAGTGCTCCATGTGTAGTCCCTGTCAGGTCCATCTGGAGTGAACGTTGGCGAAACATCGGCACAAAAAGAACGGCATGTACAGATCTGGTTTACTCCCCATTCCGGAGTATTGATAGCGTCGATATAGCCCTCTTGCTCGATGGCAACAGCGCTGTAGCTAGTATAGTTCAGCGATGGGCCGCCGTGTACCTTTTTGCGAGGGGTATCGAGCCAGTACCCTGTGTAAACCTGCGTAGCCGGATTGTTTGTGGTAATATCCACCCTGTCAAAGTCAAACAGCGTAGTTTCGGTTCCTGCCAAGCCATTTCCGATAGGACAGATATTTACCTGATTCCCGACACATCGCTCCAGAGAGACACGCCCGGATTCGTATCCTCTGGGTGGTCATAGATCCAGCAGTGATCATAGCCACTACAACCTAATCAGGAAGGCACTCAGTGAGAAGCTGGAACATGTCATCGCGAAGTAGCGAACCTCCTCCGCATAGTCCTACGGTCTCGTTCCAACGATAGTCGATCTTCTGAGGCGTTCTAAAATCCCACGGAGTATCTGTCACATTAATGAGGTTGCCGGTTGGGATGGCGTCGCCATCGACCTCGACGACACGAGATGCATCAACGCGGAGATTGTGATTTAGAATATTCTCACTGCCCTGGAAGGCATCAAGGTTCCTCACCAAAACGGATCAGCCACACAACTCGATATGCAAGCACATGAGGCATACCAATATATATGCTGCGTGAGCATGATCGGGGTCAGCTCGGTAGCCGTAGCATGAACGGTGGTCTTGAGAACGCCACCATTCTCAACAGTATGGGTGGTCTGCTGAAGGTCAGTACCGTCCTGGCAAGACCCGATTCGTGACGCACATAAGCTGAGACATTTCCAGGGAAGCCTTCATCTGCAGCGTCCAGATGGTGGTAGGTGACGCTAGTCGGAGACTTCGATACAATAGTCCAGTTCCGGCGATCCCATCCGTAGATACCTCCGTGAAGGGTATCCTGGCCTAAATGATCATAAGTGTGAGACATACGGCGGCGAATGACTGACTCACCGTCATGGTCATTTGTCGGGATGTGGTAGACATTCGGCCCTGGTGGCTGGGGATACTTGGTAATAGGAATGGAGAAAGTACCTGCATGCAGCCATGTGAGCCGAATGGAGATGAGAAGCCGGTGACGTAGTACCGTTCTTGATACGATTTGCGTATCTACGAAAATGCTACGGTGAATACGCGACAAATATGCCATGCGCGTTGGGGACTCACCTGCCGACAATGGGATTGAAAACGGGGTGGGCGGGGTCGGTGAGTAGTTCGGTCTTAGTGAATGCTAAGCGTTAGGGCTAGCATTGTGTCTATTCCACTGACATTGTTATCGTAACCGATGATAATGTCCCGAGGATTCCCGAATCTGTCCTTGATCCACAGCTCAGTCATAGTCGCACCAAAAGACACGAACTTCGCTGTGACAGAGCCGTCGGGAGCTGCGATCGTTGTGACATCGAATGGCTGGGACGCCGTTCAAGACATGCTTGTGATAACGACCAAGGATAACGTACCCATGGGTCCGCAACCACCGGGCGAAGCAGAGGTACGAGTGCCAGTAGCGATTTGAACCACTTCGATATCATACTAGCTCTGAGGGATGGAACAGCTGAAGAGCTTAGGATTCCGAAGGCAAATGTCGCAAAGCGTCTGCCACGCCGTTTTATAACTCTGACCCGCGTTGGCGTCCAAACATACATACATTCCTGCGAAGCGTCAGGATATTCTTCGCGAGTGTCTGGATTCGCTGGAAACCCACGGAACGCCAGTACCAGGTTTGCGCTGGAGTAGACGAATGCGAGGAGCGGTAGTCATGGGTGCCTTCCAGAAGGACCACAGGTCTTCTACCGGGCAGTCCTCAGCTTGTTTCGCCGAGGGCTGCAGAACCACGGGACTTTTGAGCTATAGCAAGGGATCTATCTATCTAACGATAGCCATGATCAAGCTCGTGTCCGGCACTATCTCAAATGTTCAGCTGACTAAATCTGAAGTCGATTTCGCTTACTAACTGTTTGCGCAATACGATCCTGGATCAGTAGAGGATCATCGTCGGAAGTGGAGGTGGCACGAAACTGACCCTGGCAGCGCGACCACCGGCTCGGACATACGTGCTCAGCTCAAAGATAGCTGCTGTCATGTGATAAGCGAGCATTTGAGTGTCATTTGTTAGACCATTGGTACGATACATGGCCTACCAACCCTCGTTGGCGTCAAGTACGGAGGATACAAACAATCCTCTACTGGCGCATCAACTGATGCGCTTTGACAAGCGCCAAATTCTAGCGCCTCAACATAGCGGCGGGAACATTCCTAACCTCGTTCCCTCACCTGTTTGCCTTGTGGGCCATCTAACCTGTCGTTTCAAGCTCTGATATTTTCTCAAGTCGTTTGCTTCCTTTGTGCTTTATTGATGCAGTATCAATCCTCGTAACAACGCTGCCAAACACCACCCGGTGATCCCCAAGCTATGAGAGTTGACTGGACTTCCGCTCAATTGCACTCCACTGCTGCTCTCTTATCCCGTTCCCGTCAACGTCCTGCAGGCAGCACCGCCCCGGCAGGCCGTGGGACGGCACAGTCAAAGTAGAAGACGAACTTTAACCCGGGAACTGCCTATCCACTCTTTATTACTTACCAGGCAGCGTCATCAACTCGTGGTTGCTGTTTACTTTACCCCTCTCTCTGAGATGTCGAACACGGATACGATGGTCTCCTTGGATCCAGAAGACTCAGCTCAGATACTCGAGATGGTTGAGGAACTCTCGTTTGAGACATTGTCGCCAATTGCTCCGGACGCAGTCTTTGGCAGCGCTAGGAAACGGTCCCTGAGCAAGTCAAAAGAACCGTCCCGCCGTGACTCTCAAACTCTACCCTGGAAGACTTCCATGCGCCACCCAAATGCCAGGAAAGAGAGCATCGACGTCAATAGCTCTTCCCCACCATCGCAGCCTTCCAGGTCTGAGAGTCCTGACATCGACACCATCCTCGCCAAAACTCCGCGGCCTCGCAGGACGTCTTCTGTTGGCTTGTTCTTGTCCCCACACTCTCGGAACAACGCAAGTCCTACGGCTCGCCAGGATGGTCTTCCTGAACAGTCTCTGAGTTCGATATACAGCTCATTATTCGGGGATGAGTCTGATGGCGAGGGAGGGGGTAGCGAGTCTGATTCGAGCATCGACATTCACACACCTTTACCGTAAGTGCCGCATGTGTGGCATCACGTACAAGTTCTGAATATCAGTAGGCATTTAATGTTTCGCGATGGGTTGCTCTCGCCACGTTCGAAACTCCTTCCACAGTCCGGATCCACCCAGTCCATCTACTCTTCCGCCGGAGACACCTCGCCTGGTGCCAGCAGAAGTGCCCTCAGTCTGGTCTCTACAGGTACGTTTACTAGCTTTGTATTTTCTTGTCTAACTCATTGCCGCGTTAGCCGTCTCTGTGGTCACTAAGCCTGGGTTGCAGAGGGATCCTCGGGACACTGTACGACGTCGCATGAGACATCGTGATGGCAGGTTGCTGAAGGCTGGCATGGGCCTCACAACAGGCCTCGGTTGGAGTGATAGGTCAGCAAAACGAATGTGTTCACATATCAATCGATAGACTTACAATGTTGCGACCTCCAGTGAGGACGAGGACGCTCCGTCCACACTCACCCGCCGTCTTATCACAAATACCACGGAACGTCAAAATGCTGCATCATCCCCTTCCTCACGCCCGTCATCGGTGTATGATTCAACTGCGTCCCGTCTTACGTCACCCGTCCCGTCCACCTCGAGTCGCGTGCTCTCCCGCAGAACAACTTCTCATTCCAATCTGCGCTCTACTTCCATCTCTTTTCCCGCTCAGTCTCCTACCTCCCCTGTATCAGGTCCTGGCATAGGACTGCGTATTCCTCGTGGCAGAGCCACTTCCGCAGCAGCACATGGTCCATCCCGACCCAAAACAAGCAAGTTACCCTTACTTTCTTCGCCGTCTCTCGCTTCATCTACGGAGCTTGATGAGTCACTGGACTCTATCTCTGAAGCGACGTTGATCAGGCCCGACTTTGCGTTTCCCAGTTCTGGCGAACTGCAGAGCCCAAATACCAGTTCCGTCTCTCTCCTCACTCAAAGTACTGGGAGAAGTCGTGCCGAATCCTCTGCGAGCACGACCTCAATAGTCACTACGACGTCCTTCAGCTCTGTGGTTCCGCCCCGTAGCATCTCCAAATCGGCTTCTGCCTTTTCGTCTACGTCGTCGGTGTCTTCGAACACTGCTCCTCCTCCTCTAAGGGAAAGAACGGAATCCACAGGCTCTAATGTGACGAATGTCACTACCGCATCTTCGATATCCAGCTACTCGCGAAGCTCGTCCTCGACTTCTGTCCCATCTTCAAGCAGCGGGAGCGTCCCGCGCCCTCTGCGTCTCCCTCAAGCCCATGCAGCCAGTATCAGCCCGCCTTCACGCTCCTTCTCCCGAGGTCCTGCTTCAACCAATAGTACTCCACTTATGATCGGTGGCGCGACGGTGCACCAAAGACCGCGGACCTTCTCAAGCCCACAATCAGCTCGTGCGCCGTCGGCGCCCGTGCGGAGCAGCGCACGGATGACCTCAAGCTCGATGTCGTCCGGTGTGCTTCCTCCCGGTGCCCCGCCCACTCTGCGCCATAGGCCGCCACCGCCTGGCGGAGCGCGTCCGCGTACTGGCACCGGCATGTTATATCGTACATCTTCATATACGAGCTTCCACGAGGGTGGCAGTAGGATGCGTGGGTCATCCGTCGCCTCTCCGTAGACCGCGGCCCGTTCTCCCTTACCTCTCACTACCAGACTATTTATCGCCTCTGTTCGTGCATCGCTAGGCTACCGCTGCGCAGATTTCTGAGCTAATCTACGGTACTACACTTACTTTCTGCGTCCACATCCCTATCGCGGACTATCTCTCACGTGTACATTAGGATTAGGAGTTCAGAAGGCTGGCTAAACAAATACATCTGCTCTCGATTAAGCAAAGGGGTGTCAGAACGAGAACATAGCGGCGTTCTTCCGGTTGCCGAAAAGGTAGACGAGGGCCTGTGAGATGAAGAGACCAACTGTGATACCAATCGTAACCGTGACCATGGCAGTGCCGATTTGGGTAGCACTGTTCTGTGCGGTGATTCCGCCAGCCTCGGACAGGCCAGACTGTAAAGACGACTCCGTGAGTATACGGTCTGGAATTTGCCATGTGCCAGGCGCTGCTCACAGGAACCAGGAACAGAACACCTGTAACCATCGACGTGAACGCAGTTCCGCCCATCTTGCGTGAGTATACGTTGCCAAGGAAGCCGACAACGAACGCGCCGATCGCGGAGACAACGTCGGAACGGTTGAAGATGAAGTGATCCGCGACCTTGTTGGCGGAGTATGCCGCGCACGAGATGACGACCATAACGAGGAGGTCCCAGTTCACGGGCTGTTCATTGTTGAGAGATGAGAGCACGGAGAAGATGGGGACGATTATGAACTGGGACCACCACGGATAGGTCTGTAGGTACCACGGGAAGGACGTCGGACGGTAGCAGCCTTGGACGATGTTCTGGCGAATGATCGGAGTCGATGGCGTGAAGGTGAACGAGCCTGTCCGTGCGAGCTTCTGAGGAATGGTCGCGTTCGCATCCGCAATGTAAGTACCTGTCACAGTAATCGCGGCTGCTGCCCTGGCGGCGAGAGTATCGAGCTCATTGCGGGCCGAACGGTCGAATAGCAAGAATAGATCGGAGCCAAATTGCAGACCGAAACCGAGGAACAGGGTGTAAATGAGAGCGTATACCATCTTGATGGAGCCGCACAGGATATTCTTGGACGCCAAGTCCAAAGAGCTGGTTACTAGAGAGAGGTCAGAATAGGCGGAACACCAGGTGGAGATTCTCACAGATCAAGAACCCTGGGAGGATGGTAACTACCGCTGCAGATGAAATGGACGCGTAGCAGAATATTTGCGAGCGAATCGAGCTGAGGCCTCGTGCAACAAATGAGATCACGATGACGGATAGGATCCTGAACAGTCTATGAGAACCAGTATTGATAATTGACGGCGAACCAGACTTACTCGTAGACATTGGCGTAGATTACACTCCTTCTGGAGGCAACGTATGTCTGAATGCAGGTGAGGAATAGCGATCCTCCCCCAGCGATGAACATGTCTATGAATGATCCACCGAAGGCGATTGGACAGATGAGCGCCGCAATAAGGAAAGACAGCAGCAAGCGGTATGGGACGCCTAGCATGGGGCCTCTCGCGAGCATCTTATCAAGCTCTTCTGTTCCCTTCTTTACGCTGATCTCGTCGTGTACGACCGCTCGATATATGCTATGCAAGCGATGAATGCTCCTCAAAGAGAGTCGCCCGCCACATTTCGCGAAATGCATCTGCGATGTCTTCGTTTCTTCATCGCCAAATGACGCCATGATTAGTCCCGGCATGTGGGTAAACTCGGCGTCGACCTCCAATATGCGAGCAGCGGATAGGAGCTGGGACTCCATGCGATGCGACGGGGCGCCGAAGGCAAGCAGCGCGCGGGCGAACGTCATGAGAAAGTTCTGGCGAGCCTCGATGGCTACAAACAAATGTGAGCTAACTGCGGTAAGCATGCATACAAGTACGTACAGCAAACGTTGTATTCGATCCGAATACGTTGCCGCTCTTTCCTACGGTCCTTGTACGTGAGCTGCCTGCGCGCGTTCTTCTCGATGTCGTCGATGTCTTCGAGATTTCGTTTCTTCGCGCCAGTCACGACAGGATCATCGGGGTCCAGTAGCTCCCACTCCGAGTCGTAGGCCCGTGGGTCGATGAGTTTCGACGCTCGGCGGGTCGCCTGGATGATAGCCTCGCGCTTCCTGGTCTCGTACTCATTCTCATCTTCTTCTCCGGTCATGTTGTGGAGGTCGATGAGATTCGAGAGGTAGCCACGCCGCCTGTGGGTGAGCTGAGCAGTCGCTTCTACAGCCTGTTCGAGGTCGAATTCGGGACCAAAGGGAGGTTCATCTTCCTTAGTTGGAGCACTCAGCTTGTTAGCAGGTATACCTTCTGTGAGAGGGTTGTATCTGTTGTCTTTCCGGAAGGGACGAGGGTGCTGGATGTCATGTGGATGGTTCTGATACGACAGCGACGAATGCCGAGGCTGTCTTGGGGTTATGGGACTTGGACTACCAGTCCCTTCGACCAGAGTGTTGGTGCTGTCGTCAGATGGGCGTCGACTATAGTCTATATCGTCGTCGTCGTAGGAACGGCCTCTGTCGTCGGTGTATGCTGCAAGCGGCGAAGCGATAGATGGACTGTCCGGAAAGCGCCATTCAGAGGTAGTCCCAGCCGCAGCCAGGAATTGAGATCTAGGAAGAGATAGTGGCTCGTCTCGGTGTGCCAGCTTTCCGTGGTCGCATTCCGTCACGCTTTCGCAGGATCCGCCAGGTAAGCCTTCAGGAAAGTGGACTCGGGACGCGGAAGACCTCGGTGACTTTGCAGGTGGCATCGCACCAGACCAGAGTGTGAAGGATGCGATTAGTCGATGCAAGCAGAGCGACGCAGGCTTACTGACTGGACCATTCGAATTACGGCGACTGTCAGCCTCACGCTACTCAGCCGACGGCCGACACTCCCATGTTCCAAATCCATTTTACAGAGCGAAGGTCAGATACGTACTCCGCTATTCGCCCTAAACCGCTTGTATTGACGAAGTGTCGATGAATGGTCATGGTCGTTATAAGCAAAGCCAGAAGCTACTCCTGCGGACCAGTGGGACGCCACAATGCCGGCGTCTTCGAGAGTCCCTTTCACATCTTCAGGTGAGACGGTAACGATTAGTCTCCGTTTTCGGATTCTCGAAATATTACTGTATCCAGTTGCAAAAAAATTACGCAAACGCGGAAGGGCAAGAGCTTTAATACTATGATACATCCGAGACTTCACGCGATAAAACAACGCAAAACAACAGGAGCTATTTGACACAGGAAATGGAGCCGAGTTATGCCTACAACAAAGACATCATACACGTTAAGTATAATAAGTATTACTGAACGATATCACAACCGCAGGCCTAGAGAATCATGAAGAGAAACATTTGTCGAGGAATAAAACGCACGAAAAGAGAAGTCCAGCGGTGAGAGCAGGCGCGCGAAAGCTTTACAGGTTTTCCGTGTAACGGCTGTCCGTGGGAGCAGGACCGGCCTCGTTGCCGGAATCCTCGGCATGAGCCCCAGCGGCAGGCTCGTACTCATCGTCCGTATCAGTGCCTCCTGCGGGAGGATCATCCTCGTGAGGGACATGGGGAGCCCGTCCCTCAGGAGCCTTCTCCTGCTGGCGCAGACTGGACTTCCGGACAACATTCGTAGCGTGACCACCTGCTGCACTCTCGTCATGATCATAACCGTGCTCTGGATAGGGCTTCTTATCGACCTATACGTCATGGAGAATGCTATGAGCACTCGAAGTCTCAGACACAGGCACTCTCCAAAACCGCGCAGACTACTCACCGAATGGCCGTTGCCGTTACCTTGCCTAGCATGTTCATACTGCGGAAGGTCTTCCTCGCCTTCTTCGCCATGGTCGACACCGCGTGCCTGCTGGTAGATCTCCTCGTCCTCCTGGTCACGTTCCTCTTCAACGCTGGACCCTTCGCCTTCCGAATCGTCCCCTTCTTCCTCACTGACATAACCAACAGCACGGACAGCGGCGGCAACCGGTCCACTACGCTCGATGCTCTCGCTGGCCACGAGGTAGCGAGCGCAAAGCATGCGGATATCGTTCCACCACTCCATCATATCATCATGCGAGCGTCCACGGAACGTCCAGGCGGGACCTGACCCCTTGCGACCGGTGAGGGATCCAGCGAGGTTCTTGAAAGATCCAGTCTTGACTGATCCAGTTCCATCCTTCCGTCCTTCGATATGGAACTTGTGGGATGGCACCGAAGGCGCACTCGGTGGACCAAGAGTGCATAGAGGAAGGAAGAGGCTGAAGACGGGTTTATCCGCGAGAGCAGGGTCACTAGAGGTATACTCGTGGAGGAAGCCCGCCGGAGTCAGAACGTAGTATCCCTCCCGATACGTGCGAGTGTACCGCTTTTTGCGCTCTATGAGCCCGGTGTGCACGGGCAGAACGCTGGGGTCATCTTTGCTTGGATAGTGGATGTTCTCGACGTCACGAAGAGGCGTCTCAGGGTCAATGAGATGATCCTCGCGCGCGGCGAAAGCAATCCACTCTCGATCAGGAGCAAGGGCGCCCATGGACCGCTCAAGTGTTTTCCAGATATCCTGAATGCTCGAGTCCATGCGGGAGCGCCATTCTTCGTACGTCGCCCACGCTGACTGCAGGGCTTGGATCAATGAGGATTCGAAAAGAGCGGATGAGGACTGCGTGAGGAGAAGAGACTTCTGAAGCGCGTTCTCTGTGTGGACTTGCTTCACGAGTTGACGGTAGACCAACTGGTTTGCTACATAAGGGTCGGTCTTCGCCGTCACACTCATCGGAGTGTTCTTGAGAATAGAGATATTGGTTCCAAGGTCGCCGATGAACTTGGCGGACAGCTCGCGCTCCTTGGCGACGGAGGTGGCAAGCTTGCCGGTGTCATTCTGGATGTTCCTAATGTGTGCTTTGATTTCGACCTTGAGCTTCTGCAAATGCTGGACAATCGAGCCGTCGATAGTTCTGCCTAGATTGGCATGTTGGTCTGCAATGGCGCGTGTCTTATCTCGAATTTGATAGTAAACGTCCTGAAGAAAGTTGGAAGCCCGCGCTGTAAGCTCGTGAGCAGCCTCGTAGAAGCGGATGTCGTACCTGAAGTCCGCCTTCGCCCAGAAATTGATTCCCAGCACGGAAAGGCACCTGGATCACGGCACCGAGTTTCGTCATCTCCTTGGCAATATTGTTTTCAATGTCTGCGAGACCCTGGTAGATCTTCATGTCAGATGAGCCTCAGGGTCAACCGGGTCCGACACGCACCTCGAAGTAGGCAATGAGCTGCTTCAAAATGATTTTCCATGCTGTGAAGCGTTCAATGAGGATGTCGGAGGGGCGCAGGTCGTGTGGTGCAATGTTCTTTTTGATTAGGGACTGCTGACGCGAGAGAGCCGAGCCGTGTTTGCTGCTTCCGCGCGAGACGGACGTCGCACGCGACAGCGAGACTGAGTCGTTCATGTCGTGGAAACCACGTAGAAGGGAATCGAGGCCGTGAAAGGGGTGGCCGGTACCAGGATAGTCGCTGGCACAGGTTAAAACACGGGAGGGGTCGTTGGACAGGGACTCGAGGTGGGCGTTGGCTTATGTATGCCCTTGCGGCGCGGCGGATGCACCTTTCGCGCTCGAGTCCAGATCGCCAGCCTGACGTCACAGGCAGGAAAGGCAACTCTCCGCCGCGAAACATGTTCCACCCTGACCTACCGAACCCGACGAGAAATCGGAATTGACGGTCGTAATGACCACGATATCGTTCCAGCCTGATGTCGTGATGCTACAACACCGCAGCCTTCCTTTCTTCGAACTGGTATCCACAGACCGCATACAGTTACTCAAACAACGGTCTACAGTCAAATAAATATACGATAAATAATTGCTTCAGGTTGCACTTGCGGATGCTTGATTTCTGTCTGATAGACTACACAGGAGCAAGCGTTCAACGCGAGATAGGGTCGCTTCCATGCGCTCTATCTTGCCGGTCAGCATCCAGACGGTCTCTTCCAGCGCGGACATCCTGTCCTCTGTCGTGGGCGTGACGCCATCGGGGCTCTGCTCTGCCTTGCGAGTGCACCTCGCTAATGCATGGGTGTATCGGTGCAGCTTCTGCTTCTCCACAGGAGGTGGGTCCTTGCGCCTTGCTGTGCATTGATTGCACATGAAGTTGTCGGCTATCCAAACGGTCAGAGACCCTGAGCATCCGATCCACCATGGACCAACGTACCGAGCAATGAACCATAGTACCAGGTCGGCTGCTTATACGGCTTCTCGCAGCGTATACAACGAAGTAAGGTCCGCTGTTCACATGTATCGCATATCAACATATCCTGACCTGGGGGTGCCCCTTAGTACATGTAAAGCTGGGGCTCGCAAAAAGCTATCTGTACTTGCCAGACTCGAAACAGTTGACACACGACCAGCAAGCGTCATTCAGGACCGCTCGACAAATGTGACACTGCTGTCCGCTCATGCCGACGGTGGAGTGTCTGGGTTTAGATGCACTGTCATAGTATAACGCTACGAGGATATATATTCAGCTAGACAACAGATGGTATGCAGGCGGACACGTACCGATTGCGTCCTCGACAGCATCCTCCATTCCACAGCGTTCCGAACCTTGCAAGTACTCGCTGCACAAGTCCAGTACAGCCTGAGCCCGCTCGCGGAGACTTGGTACGTCAACCGAGTGCAGCACCGTGCGCACCTTGAAGACGTCGTGCGAAGAGAGGTGTTGCTTCTGTGGCTGGCGCGTGTCAACGGAAATCGTCTTTTGCCAGCATTCTGGTTTATCACAGAAGTCGACAGTCTTCGCCTCGGTTTCAGAAGATAGACAGTCCAGGCAGACAACACGCGAGCCGCCTATCTTTCCGCCACATCCACGGCAGTGGCAGTCGCTAATATGACAAGTCAAGAACCATGCCATGATAGATTATGACTATGACTTACTGTATAGGGATCGTATTGAGCCTCGCGTCCCTTAGAACGCGGAAGAAGCTTGCGTCGATCGAAGTCACCTCCCGTTTGCATCTGGTCCATTCTTCCAGTTCTTCCGCGTTCGGAGAATGCCCGTATACCGCGAAGCGTATGCTCATATCGATGTATCGCATCCCAATCTCTCGCCGTTCGTTGATGGACCACGTCAGACGCTGCCTCCTTATTCGATGAACAACAGCGGACAGCGCATAGTTCCAGAACGCGCGAGCCTTGCCTGCACTAAGCTCTGCCGGAGATGGTCGATATCGTAAGTACTGCGAGGCGGGATTGGTCTTTAGAAAGAAACGCTGTTCATGTGTCTGGGGATCCTCCTCTCCGCCGACTGTGCCGACGATGTCGAGGTTGTCATTCAGGCGGCCGTAAAAGTACTGCGCGCTGTATTCCTTGCCGTAGATGATGGAGAACCGGACGTGGAGGGTTCCATCATGATCTTGGAAACACCGCCCCGCTACCTTGAAAGGCGTGCCGTTGTGCATGCCTGTTGCGCAGAAGCGCTGCGGGTCGGAAGTAGAGATTGCATGAGCGCGGAAGGAGAGCATGACCTGGGCCGGATACCGCTGCTCGTCGTAAATGAAACCGTTCCACTGTAGGAGTCTTGGAACGCTAGCATTAAGCACGATATGCGGTTTGCCATTAGTAGAATACTCACATTGCTCTAACGGGCATAGGTGCGTGTTTATCAACCTCGGATGCCTGTTCTGCTACGGCCTCGTAGATCTCGCACTTGTACTTGTGGTCGTTCTGCGGCTCATAGTTGAGGATATCGACCGTCATGGAGTTGTCGTCCGGAATGTCCAATTTGGATACCGCAGCGGGTACGCAGGTGATATCTTGCAGGTTATTCCAGGTCCATAGGCTCGAAGGATTGTGTAGAAATTCAAACTAAAGCATCATATTGAATCGTCAGTGCGAACAAGAAGCATCATATTCTGGGCGCACCAAACCACAGGCGACAATCTTCATTTGACCGTCCACATTGAGATGGTTCTGTCTGAAGAGCGCTGCAGATATGTGGATTTAGAGAACGCCATAAGGCTGGGTCGCACTCGCCTTTCAGGTCAAGATACCGATAACTGAGAGCTCGGAACACCCAAAGTAAACTATCGGCAGAATCGAGGAGCTCTTCCTTGTGTAAAACGAGCTTCTTGGCGACGTAGAACACCTCGATATCTCGTTTGAGCAGGAGGTATACCAATGGGAACAAATACTGTCGCAAGTCGGTTTCCCAGTCAGAGTGAGATGGTGAAGCGGACAGACCTTCTCGATGCGGCCGGGGCCGGCGACGACATATACTGTATCGAGTGCGTCGATATCGAACCGAATGTCATGCAGGTTCTGCCGAATCCGTTCTTCCTCTATGTCGGCGAAAGCCTGGAACTTGGCCTCGATGTGCTCTGGAAAATTCGCAGGGCGGAGGCCTTTGACGAGCTCGAAGGCTACTGGCCACACATTTCGAAGATAGTAATCAGCCCAATAGCGATTCTCGGGAAGAAGGTTGCTTCGGATGGAGAACATGTGGTTGAGCAGACCCAAGATCTTCTGACCATAAGACCACGAGATCGCCTGCCAACCTACAACCGATACCTCAATTTGGGGAGAGTGACAGCGTGGCGAGAGCTTACCGACAGCCCAGTACGCAACCCAGTGTGGGAGCCTAAAGACATATAAATATGCGCATATACACGGTTGTTCAGATAGCAGATAGCACGTACGTCCATCCTAATTCTTCTGGGATTCCATCGACGAACTCATTGACTTCCTGGTATGTGACGTAGCCAGAGCCGTCGTCGTCGAATGCTTCCATGATAGGCTGAAGATACTTGGCGCTGATATATTCGAAGGCCCACTTGCCCCCTGTGCCACGATCGAAAGACATGTTGTCGGCCCTGTCGCGGTAATGGTCTCGCAATGTCATAACGAAGGTGCGAGCCTTAACGTTTAGCTTCCAGTCCTGGGCAAGGTCAGCACACGCAGTCTTTCAAAAATCGTGGATGTTCACCATATCTTTCCATATGGCTCGCAGTTCCTAAAAGATTGATTAGCTTATATTGCCTCCATCGGGCTCTAGCCCATCATACCTCGTTTTTTATCTTGACATGTGGCCCTCTGTTCATTTCGTCGATAATACGTTTGGCCCCCTCACGCGTAACGCGCAAAAGCTCATCGTGAAGCTGCCTTTGGTAGAGATTGAACTTCCCTTCGAACGTTTTCAGATTCCTCGCAATGGCCATATCCCAATCTTCATGGAGCTCGTCCTTCAGCTCCTGCAGCGAGAAAGCAAGGCTCTTGTTTTGTAGCACTGTTGAGTGACCAGCACTGCGAGAACTCTGAGGTCGTTTCCATTAGTCAAATCAATCTATACTATTCATAAAGGACGCACCAAGTGGACCAGCTCGCTCAAAGCGGAGTCATTCTTCTCCACGAGCTTTGCCCCTCCCATATCTGCAACTTTCTGCGCAAGCTCAGACTCTTCAGACGGTCTCCAGTCTCGGCGGTATGCGTCAAGCAGCAACGAGGTAAGCTCAGAGAGCCTGGAGAACAGTTCGTCAATGGTCCTACGAGAAGTCGATGAAGCCCTTACTTCTTACTCATCTCTTCCATGGTCGATTCCATGGTATCCAACGCTTGCGTAGTATGGATCAGCAACGCAAGGTCGAAATCTCGCCTCCGCTCCGCAAATATGGTGACGTAGCTGGTGAGCTTCGTGTCCCAATTCTGGCTGCGTAGAACTTTGGTGACGGTACTCGTCTTCTGGTACTTGTCGCACAAGTTCATGCACTCCCTAATGTTCCGCGCTGCCCTGTCGCACACGTGTTGGAGACGTCCCTGAAGCAGTTCCCCTCCGGGGTAAACGATATGAGGGTCTTTGGTATTTTGGAGCCTGTCGCGACGGTGAGCCCTAACCAAATCGCGGAGAGAATACGACCTCACTGAAGGAGAGCAATGAACATGTCTTGCATCGCTGCAAGCAATACCATGATCCTCTTATCGTTATCCCGTTTGGTCCTAACCATATTATAAGCGGCTTTGAAAGCCAGCACAGCGACTACCAGATCTTTATCGTTAGTATGTATCTCGGGGATATGCAATGCGACTGGCTAACCCGATATCGTGACGTGAACCTTGGCGATCTCGTCTAACGCATGAAGAAGACTCGGGACTTGAACCGGATGGTCGTTCATGCCTTCTTTCAACTTGTTGAATGCGCTGCGGGCGTCATGCGAGTGGGCGAACGACATCGACAATGGCGCCACAATGGCAACATTTCTTTCAGACGGGATATGCAGCACGTCTGAGTGATGGCCTCTGGTGGGTTCGTGCAAATTTGACATCCGCAAATCGATACTTACCCAGGTTCTTGTCGGGCCTGAACGAATCACGGCCGTCTAAGGATTTCGACGTCCCTTCGCGCGTCTCTCCCCAAGGAGATTTGGTTTGATAGCCTTGCTTGTGCCTGTCGGTGATGACCACTTCTGGGCGCTCTGGAAGGTCACGACGAGTAGGGCGTACTCTGGGCGTTGGTGGGCGTTCAGGAGTAGGAGACGAGGGGAGAGATTTTTCGTTCGGGAAAGATGTCGAGGGAGACGCACTTGGAGATGGTGTGGGATACCCTCCATCGATGAGCTGTGAAGGATCCCAATCCTTGAGATTCGCCGGAGCGGACGCTGGGTACAGGATGTTCAGTTCCTCCAGATGTGGCGGCTCTTCCGGAAGAGACTGAGGTTGCCCCGCAAAGCGTGCTCGAAGACTATGAAAGCTGAATTGTTTTTTTGGCTTCGAACGTGGAGGCATGGTGAGACAGGGTACGAGCGAGCTCGCGTATCAGCTCCACATATAAGTCCAGCACCTCAGCGTACTGTGAGAATTTGGCAGAGTTCTGGGAGGCGGAGCGCGCGCTTTCATTGACAGGAATCATCACACCATCTCCTCATGGCTTTCAAGCGACATCCAGGGATGATGGCGAGACGATTAGCATGTACGCGGACGGATGCTGTGAAAATTCCTTCGCGACGGAGACCGTGACAGCGCTGACGATCTGAACGTCTCATCCGCTCAACCATCTGTCCAGCTTTTTCATGGCAAGTAGGCGTGAAGTTTGAATGAGTCAAACCCTGGGAAAACCACCCCTACCTCAGGTGGACGCGGTGGGGACGATTAGAAGTGTTGGAGCGCAACGCGCCCATAGATCGCGCGACCACGTGACCCAAGTTAACCATGGGCGTTAAAGCTCTCGGTTGCCAAATCCGGGGTTTGTTACTCCTGCCACACTTCAACATCATGCATCGCTGTTTTCAGATACCTGAAATCGCTGACAACATCGTCTACTATGTTAATGCAGGATTCATTAATGTGGCTCTGGTATCGCGTTCATTCTATGAACCGGCGATGAATGCGGTGTGGAGGAAGCTGGACGGGATAGAGCCGCTTGTTCGACTGCTACCTGAGAGCCTATTGGAAGAGAACGACGGAGATCTTCTCGTACGTGCGGTCCATTTACTCCTCGTTTGCTGAAATGACATGCTCCATGAACAGGTGGCTAAAGGGATACCTTCTGCCGATGATTGGTCGCGCTTCAGGCACCACGCATCCCGTGTACGAGAGTTACGCCTCTCATGGCTTGATGAAGAAGACGAGAGCTATTGTCATATCGACTTCTCCGTCTACCGCTTTTTGCGTGATCACTCTCCGTTCGAGTTCCTCTTCCCTAACTTACAGGAGCTGTCGTGCTACGACTCAATACTGGAAGTTCTCGACCTATTCATAGGACCTTCAGTCAAAAGTTTGACTGTTGGCGGCGAAGAAGATATCTCTCCTGGTATTTTCTCCATTATAGTAAAGCACGGGCAGCAACTCTGTGAGCTGAGGCTTCTAGATTATATCGATCTCGACGATGAGGACGCGATTGAAGCGGCTTCGCGGGCGCTTTCTTCGCTAAACGGCCTTACTACGCTCAAGTGGAACTGCTCAGTGCCGGAAGATGCCCTGTTACATCTTGCACGACTTCCAACCCTTACGAATCTCACGTGCGCGCTTTCTGACACCACCTCCTGGGACCTTTTAGCGAACCATGAGCACGCTTTTTCGTCCCTTCATAAGCTGGTACTTCTTGTGTCACCGCGGCAGTTGCAACACGCAACCTCCTTTCTTTCTAGTATAAGCCCACGACTACTCGTACAGCTCGAAATATGCATAGGCTTGGGCTGTGCTTTCGATAGACCGGCGTCCCTCGACATCGGTGCATTTACGACGTTGCTCGCCTCGATATCCCGCATTCATACTCTGATCTCCCTCGAACTCAAAACCAGTCCCTCATCTCCAGCGATTCCAGGCACGGCACTCTCACCCCTTTTTGACCTGAGTAATCTCCGTCGGTTCCATACCGATGGGTTCCCATTCACCTTCGTCCCTGCTGACATCCATGCCATGTCCAAAGGGTGGCGCAAGGTCCAGAAACTCCGTTTTTCATCATCCTTAAACGGCTCTTCCACACTATCCCTGAACGATTTGCTGCCATTCGCTGCGAACTGCCCCGATCTCACTCTGTTCGCCATGCGGGTCAGCGGCTCTCCCTCAACGCCAACGCAGATGTCCTGCAATCCTCAATCTTCCCTGAAATTGCTCGATATAGGTGGGGACGTCGCGGAACATACGGAAGGGTGCTCTGCATTCCTATCCAGAGTGTTCCCGCACGTTAGACTGGAATCGTGGTCCTGTCGTACGCCCGCAGAGCATGCAGCCGTCAAACAGATCAATGAGGCTTTGGAGGCGCGGCGACCAGGACAATGAAACATTAGAAGAAGTTTCCATCCTCCAATATACATCTCTCAGTTAGTATGTAGTTGGTCAGCATCAACTCACATGGCGTAAGTCTTATATCTCTGACTTCTGTCCTGCAGATGCCGTTCAAGCCCTGTGAAGCTTCGAAGGTCCGAACTTTGGCCAGGACACTAGTACTTCATAATTGATACTCAGTGTGGACCAGATCCCGTGGCTGTATTGGAATCTTGAACTATCCTCCCGAAGCAATTTGCATTCAGTAATTCGTGTTATGGCCTACTGGAAGGCAACGGGCAGATGACGTTGAGACACGCTCCACACTCCTGAATAGCACTAGTGTATCAAGTAAGGGCTAAGTCAGGGAATCAGCACAGCTTCAGTGTTTTGAAGCTGAGTAAGTAAAAGCATTGAGCGTGGGAGCATTGATGTGAAATGGCGGTGAAGGGAAATGTGACGTCAGAATAAACCACCACCAGCGCGTGGAAGCTGGCGCGGGGCTCTTTGGGCACGGCCGCCTACAAAGCCCAAAATGAATCCCCACAACAGGCACAGCACTTTCTCCCGAACCCATCCCTCAGAATCCCTCTCGCCATGGATAGCTTCATGATGTCCACTGGTAGAAAACTCTTCCAAAAGAACCTGGCGCAGTATCAGCCTGCCGACCCGCTGTATGAGACGTACGTCGACAAGAAGGGCAGAGAAAGAAGGCGGAAGGTGGGTGCTAATGCGGAAGGATATCCTTTGGCACGTGTTCTGACTTGAACATAGAGGGAGCTGCCACCAGGCCTCTCGGAACGGGACGCGAAGGTCCTGAAGTCGGTGAAGAGACGAGCACATCATTTGGACAAGGGCTTCAATCTGTGCGGCGTGCGTTTCGGGTGGACTTTCATCATCGGTGAGTCCGAGTAAATGCGAAGCCTATGATTTTGTGCTGACAGACAGCAGGTATCGTTCCTGGGGCCGGCGATGTCGCTGATGCTGCGCTCAACTACTACCTAGTCGTCCGCAAGGCGCGACAAGCAGAGTGGGTGGCTCTCCCTTTTTCACCATGTCGCTTCTCACACAGGCCACAGAATACCAGACTGGCTGCTCCGCAAGATGCTGACGAACAATGCAGTTTCAGCGGCCGCCGGCTTTATCCCGCTGCTCGGCGACGTCGTCCTGGCCGCGTTCAAAGCCAACTCGCGGAACGCTGCACTGCTCGAGGAGTACCTGCGCATACGCGGTGAAGAATTCCTGAAGCGCGATCAAGACCGATTGCAGGACCCAGCAACGGTCAGACCTGGCGCAGGTACGGTCTCTGGCGAACAGGTGCCAGGGAAAGTCGGCGCCAATGCAAAGACGAGCGGTGGCTGGTTCCGCCGGCGCAGCAAGCGCGAGGCTAAGCAGCTTGCAGCGAATGGCGTGGTGGCGGAGCCTTCACAACGAGAGAGTCGCTTCATTGAAGACGTTCCCGAGGGAAGGAGCAAGCCGGTCAGGAAGTAAACGCCATAATCCTCTGTCGTGCCTGTCTCCAATATACCCGGCTGGTGATATCCCGGAAGGTTGGAACTTTGATTTAGGTTTGGCATATGTATCTTTGTTCACGACCCACTTAGCAGAAAGTGTTACGCATTGCTTATTCACGAGGCTTCGCCTTAGCTTGAGACATGATTACTTTTCCTAGACACGTCTCCAGCGCGAGCTTGTCCGGTAGTACACGACATTAGCTGCCTCTTGATCCTGGCTGCATACACTTCTACGCCCCACATCCACGTGTATCCATAGTGAAAGGTGAGTGATATGCAGGACAACTACGTGCTACAGCAGCAATCGAGGAAGCGGTAACTTAGAGATCGAAGTACTAGATACACAAACTTTTCCGAGAAAGGGCTTCGGGTTGCATGCGAGATTACCACGAGGACCGTATCGCGACTTGAGGAGTGGTCGCATGGTAGCGAAACGGCAGACAGGATGCGAGCAAACACTCAACGTACTCAACCTCTACAGGCCCCGGGCCCCGCCCACGATTTCTGTCTCTGTCTCCGTCTCCAGGGAATCCTGCGACGGGCGTACGACTCCGTACTTGAGCGATGCAGCCTTCCTCTCCTGTGCCCTGACCGCACTGAACGCCGACTTCAAACGGTTTACCTCATCTATCTGCAGTACCCATTGCTCTGGTTCATCCTCGTCCTCTATATTGTAATGGTTATGCAGAAGCTCTGCCAGCGGGAACAGATCCGAGAGGAAGGCTGCGAGACTTGAAGTATCCTCAATCGCCGTGTCCTCGCCTAGGCATAGATTCTGCAAGCGAGAGGCCGGTAAGCCCTCAGCGGGGCGAGTGTCGGTGGAGATTGTGTCATCTTCGCATAGGAGCTGAAGGCCCAGGGTTTCGAGATCTGAACAGTGTCGGACGAAATGTAGGAGATCCTCGGGCCGTACACCGACAACGTTATGCTTTGCCCGATCGCCGAGGAATAAGAACGTGAGCTTGGGCCACGCCCTGGCCATCTGTACGACGTCGTCCGGAGCCAGGGCAAATGGTACGGCAGTCATATCTAAATGTGACAGCTCGCCCAGCTGAAAAAGAGGTCGGAGGGCATCGCCTGGAACGATGTGATCCGGAAGGTGAAACTCGTATCCCCATGGCGAGAGGACTAAGGTGTGCAGCCGCTTGAATCTGGGGACCACGGAAATAATTCTCTGCAGTGACGATGCCGTGGGCGGCCTGTAACGCGTGCGTTCCTCCCCAAAGTCGTCCTCTTCGTGGAAGAGTCTGAGATGGATCTTTAGGGAAGTGAGCTCAGTCTTCGGCGATAAAGCCTCGAGCAGCCCGAGCAGTGGCTCCACACGCTGAGCGGAGGTGGTTAATTCCAAGGAACATAGTGAGGCAAATTTTGGCTCGGAGACGGAAGAAAGAATGGCGCGGTAGTCGACGTCGTTGAGGTCGAAATCAAGACTTGTGAGAGATGGCAATGTGCCCAGGTGGATCAGTGCATTCGGAAGGATGGGAGCGCCGACCTTGACAGTCGCTAGATGCTTCGACAAGCAAAGTACGCGGGAAAGTGCTCTCTCCATAGCCGGGCTTCCGCGGTCGTCACGGTCGGAGAAGTCGATGTGTTGAAGGAAGACGGCGCGTTCAGCGAGTGCGCGTAAATATTCAAGAGTGTCGCCCTCGCCCCACGCAGTGTACGTGCCCTCAGCGACTTGCAGCGACGGTTGCACAAACAAAGGCGCGTATTGCATTGCAGACTTGTCACAGAGGATAAATTCCTGAAGGTTAGGTAGTATCGGCCCGGCGGGGTGGGTCGACCGGAGAGCTTGGAAACAGCTGTACCCCACGGATAGACCTCCGTCGTCAAATCCAGGGACGAGTAGAGTAAGCTTTCTGACGCGAGGAGCATGATGCTGAAAGCGCGTCCATTCTTCAGAAGACGGATTCCTGACCATCATCTTGTGTTCGTGAATTAGGAGCAAAACGCGTGGATAGTGGACGATACATACCGGAATATTTTCCACATTATCACGACGGAAAGTGTCTCTTGGCAGACACTCAATTAGAGGTCTCAGTCCACCAAGGTCTTTCCAGAGAACGTTCATCGCCGGTTCGTAGAACGCGCGACAAACTAAGGATATGGACACCAAGTTTCCCCCTATGAGCTGTGCGATGTGGTGAAATATTTCGTCTATTTGAAGACAGCGATGCATGTTGTGTTCAACCAAGCCCGGTTTGGTGCAGATGGAGGTAAGAGACTCTGGCCGCAGCTGGGACTGGGCCAAATTTAATAGTCGCGTAAACCCTAACCCTACAGAACGCGCATCGGCCGACAATGGCACAGCCGTGCTTGCTCTCTTCCCGAAGCCCGTGTCTACCTACCTGCATGATATCTTGATTCTTCACATACCTATCCACACTGAGCTTTCGTTATCAGTGCATCTTGGTTTGCTTTAATGCCAGAACTACATCACTCTACAGCGGCACATGGTGATACGACGTCCAGTCTGACAAGGGGCTGTTATCATCAGCAAGGAGCAGGCAGCGGCTTAGAGCCACTTGCAAGGAACATTCGGCGGTGGTTGTCATCAGTCAACGTGGGATTAACTGTGGCTCTGAGGAAGAAGAACTGTGCCGCTATAGCCGTGACTTTGTAGTGATGTCATTTCGAAGTGGGGCTTGGTGCGACGAGGAGAGTATAAAGCCTAGGGAGTGGGGTGAATACAGAAGGCAGTACCACATAACTTCAGATACCTCCTTGACGAACTACAACTCGTTCAAGAAACGTCACTATCATGCAAGCTGCGTCGAATGCCATTCAGAACGTGAGCACCCTCCAAGCTCTTACCTTCGCGAGTGATCAAGCTGACCGGTTAGCAGACCATGGGCGCCATCCCAACGGAGGTGCATCCCGAGTTCAAGGCCGTCCCTGGGAAGACTATGAAGGCTCTCGCTTGGTTCGGTAGCCAAGACGTCCGCCTCATCGACGCCCCAATTCCCGACATCACTGAACCTGACGATGTCATCCTTAAAGTTACTGGTACCACGATCTGCGGCTCTGATCTGCACCTATATCACGGGGAGATTGCCTCTTTGCAGAAGGGTGACATCTTAGGACACGGTGCGTACTGTTTGGTACGGTTCGTAAGAGCCATGTTTTGACGGAGCCGTCCAGAATTTATGGGCGTCGTCGACAAGGTCGGACCGAACGTCACCAACCTCAAGGTTGGCGACCGTGTCGTCGCATCATTCCAGATTGCCTGCGGCGAATGCGAGTACTGCAAGCAGAAGCTCTCTTCATTCTGCGATCGCACAAACCCGTCGACTCTCCAGAACGCCATGTACGGACACCGTGATGCAGGCTTCTTCGGTTATTCGCATTTCACCGGCGGATTCGCCGGTGGTCAAGCTGAATACGTTCGCGTCCCAAAAGGCAATGTCAATTTGCTGCCTATTCCTGAAGGCATCTCCGATGAACAAGCCTTGTACCTATCGGACGTGCTTTCCACGAGCTATCACTGCGTCATGGATACTGGCATTAATGAAGGCGACACCGTTGGAGTCTGGGTAAGCAAAGAAATGAACAGTCAATCTCAAGGTCATTAACTTCGTGTTCAGGGTCTTGGTCCCATCGGCCAATGTGTAGCCAAATGGGCCAAGCTCAAAGGTGCCACGCGTGTCATCGGTATTGACCGCGTTCCCGAGCGTCTTGCATTTGCCGAGAAGGAGAGTGGTGTCGAGCCGCTCGACTTCTCCAAGCACACCGACATTGTCAAGCGCCTCCAGGAAATTTGCCCCGGCGGTCTCGACGTTGCGCTCGACTGCGGTACTTTCCACCAGCCAAAGAGTCTGCTGCATAAGGTCGAGAAGACGCTCATGCTCGAGACGGATGTTCCCGAAATCATCAACGAGATGATCATGAGCGTGAAGAAGGGCGGCCGCTGCGGTCTCATCGCCGCGTACTCTGGATACGCGAACCATGTCAACGTTGGCGCGCTTATGGAGAAAGGCGTGCGCCTTATCGGCAATGGTCAGGCTCCCGTGCACAAATGGTGGAAAGAGATCCTCGAGGATTATATCATGACGGGAAAATTTGATCCCACCTTGTAAGTTTTGCTGCTCGCTTGCATGAGTGTACACCGCCTAACCAGCGTCTGCCTGCAGCATGATTTCCCATCGTGTTCCAATCGAAGACTTCCCCGCTCTGTACAAGGCCTTTGATAAACGCGAATCTGGCGTCATGAAGGTATTTGTTGAGACTAAATTTTCCAGTCCCCCCACTCCTGGCTGCCCGAAGACGTCCCGTGTTAACGACTGGGCATAAAACGCAGGCAGCTTTCCTGGATACTAGACTTGTACTTGAATTATGTTGTTTAATACGCACGTTTCTCCGCTATCGCCGTCCATGCTGCTGCACAATCCCGCCTCTTTAGCGCCATAGGCGTCTACCAACTTTGTGGTAGCTTGATGATCTGATCCGTTATCTCGGAAGTCTCCGCTTGCCAATCTTAGGAGATTAGATAGGTCACTCAGGCTGTGGCGTCGCAGGGGCAAAGCGTGTATGTCTCATTTTCGTGCAAATACGGGAATATATACGAAATAAGAGTAGTATGCATCGCATGGAACCCAATGAAACTCATCGCACCCCACCTCTTTTCTGGATGCCCTCGTGCTAAGGCGGCTTCAGACGAGCTCGGGACCGGTGATGCCTGGTTTGGTCCTTTCTGCGGCCTCAGCATGGGCATGGACACGTCTGGCGCGCTTGTCCCTGTGGTACATATAAGGTCGCGCTTGAGTAAAAAGAGGAACAGGAAGCACTCACGGTCTGTTGAGGACGGATTCTTTGCCAAGGTAGCACAGCAAGTCGTATATGAAGACTCCGACTAACAGCCCTCGTTAGGGCATGATGAGAAGGAGATGACGAAAAGACACACCTACGGCACCGCAGATGGGACCTATAACGGGGCACCATAACCAGTACTGGTTCCTAAAGTTGTACACTGTGCGAACGCCGACATCATCAGTCTGAGCGGGCCGGTGAATAAACATTAATTAGGGACTGACCTGCCCGCCCGTAACCCGCCATGGCCGTAAATGTCCTCGGACCAAAGTCACGCGCGGGATTGATGGCATAACCTGCGAACAATGTCAGGCTACGTGCGCTAAGCTGTCAGTAAACCAATCAACTCACCCGTTTGCATACCGAGACCTGATCCGATAGCGATGATGGTGCAGAACAGGACGAGAGGAACAAGCCCCGGTGGGGGAGCGCCACCATTAGTATCCGTAACCGCACAGACGATAATGAGCAAGATGGCAGTGGCCAGGAATTCGTTCAGGAAGCACCGGATATTTGTCATATAGGGGAGCTGACAGCCATGTCAGCGTTCACGCTCCACAAAGAACGACGTGTAAAACCCACAGCGTAAGTGGCAAATAGACCAGCGGTTCCTGGTGTCGTACGAATATTGCCACCGCCTTCCTGAATATCGATGGCCCCAAGGTAATTGCCGTACACGAACGCCGCACCACAGAATGCACCGAGCACCTGAGAAAAGACGAAGATTGGGACTTTGCGCCAGGGGAAGTCACGCATGGTGGCAAAGGCTATGGTAACTGCCGGATTGATGTGTCCACCGGAGATACCACCAGAAACCCAGACACCACACGCGGTGGCTATGAGCGCAGGTCATTAGCTGCATGACAGGCGGCAGCGCACAGGATGAGATGTACCTGCAGCCCAACCCATAGTCGTTGAGATGTAAGCCTACATGGACGGATGAGTAGATGGTAGCGAAGCAAACATCTAGGACCTACACCCTTAGGGGCCGAAGAAATGGCAGTGTTTTGACTCAGTGTAACCTGGCAGTTATTTCCGCATCCAAGCACGATGAGTGTCATAGTACCAAGAAATTCTGCTGCGGGCTCGCGGATGACCTCACTGTATGTGCTATAGTTAGCGACGTTCAACTCAAGATTTTTCTTGAGAGCGTACCGGAACCTGGACCATCTGTTCGGATACCTAGTGATGAACTCCCCGGGTGGAATGGCGGGCTCTTGGAAGTAGCCCCTATACTGTCCATCAGTGAGGTGTTTCGAGAGCTAGGCATCAGCGTCATGCTCACTTCATCCTACCGAACCAGCCAGTCTGCTCCGCCTGAGTGGGTTGGACATAGCCCGCCCCGGGGTTGGACGACAACTTATCCGAGTGGTCAGTCGTCCCCTCGATATGGCTGACATCCTCCTTCGTGTAGTCGGCATTGGCGTGGTAAGAGTCGCTTTGTGACATCGTTTCGGGAAGGGACTAGGCACGCAAAGAGCGGTCCCAGGGCGATGACCCTTCTCTTAAATACATCCCCGCCACTGCGCACTCAGGAACGCGCGACCTGGACTTGAGACCATGCGGGGCTTGGCCATCGAGTGCGATCGAGAAGATGAGCCGGGGCATTTTATTTCGAAATGACGGAAAATCTCGAAATTGCGGGGCCCCATCCGGCCCCATGGGTGTTTGAGAGTGCCACATGGGGAAATAAGCGGACACGGCCTGCGGTGCAAGAGGAATTATCGACATCGGCGTGCTACCTGCTCATCCAATTTTCGTTATCCAGTAGCGATTTAAAACACAGATAGATCCCACCGTCGAGTTGAATTTACGATGCTAAGTAGAGTCCTGCCTCATATTTAGGCATAGCCCATTTCTGTTTGTAAATTTAGCCGTTATTGAATATTCTACGACTGTGCCTGCATTCAGATATGGCTCACCAGACGGATGCTTCTGAAAATGAGATGTGTCATAGAATGTCCTAAACGGGTAACAACGTTGAAGAAACTAAAGGCCTAGGGCTGAGTGGCTCACAAAAACAGGGGCTCATAGACCGAGGTTCCAATATACGTCTGCCACAACTTGCTGTGCCGCCGAGCCGGGACATTCTTGCGATAGATAGAACCAAGGCAGGTTCATAGTGATTGTACACCTCGTTTCATGCGCACTACGTGTCATGGAGCACCAGATGAGTGGCGATCCCTCTCCGAGTGGTGTTGCCGATCCCAAACAGGGGTTGGTTACACGTAATCGCGCGGTCCGCGGAGTTGGGTGACCGCGCCATAAAGCGGGCGCTCTACATGAGACAGATCTTTTCGCGTGGATCGGCTCGATCATACGCTGGATCCAGCTCGTCTTCGCAGATGGGGAGCGCCTAGCGAGCGCGCTTACAGAAGCCATAGCTGCTGGTAATTAAGCACGATCTGTCGCAAGGCCACCTGAAGAACGCGCCGAATCAGCTA